CACGCAGACAGAATCGAACCAGTCTACCACTACAACATGGAGAGAGAGAGAGAGAGAGAGAGAGAGTGTTTTCCAGCCATGCACGCAGACAGAATCGAACCAGTCTACCACTACATGGACAGAGAGAGAGAGAGAGAGAGAGGGTGCCAAACAGCACCTCGAGAAAAAAGTGTCACAGAGAGAGAGAGAGAGAGAGAGAGAGAGAGAGAGAGAGACACACACACAGTCATGTTTTTCTTGAGTGTATAGCGAATATGATGACAAAAAAATATATATATAAAAAAAGGGCTGCGGTGTAACAACAACAGCCCCGTCCCCCTGTTGGTCCCTCTCCTCTGCCGCAGCGTAGCTGCAGCGGGTCCACTTGTTGAAAAAAATGTGCCACTTGTATATTACACAAGCTTTGCATGTAGTGCAGTGACTCCAGCCCCAGGTGTGCTGGTGGTTCGACATGCAAACATAGACCATTCTGCAACGACAAGAGTTTGCACCGGTGAGTGTTTCTATGCTCCTCTGGTGCAAATACAAACTTATGGAAAGCCTTCCGACGGAGCACTTTATGCCTTCTACAGCCTATTCAGTGCAGACAGAGGAGGAAGGATTGTGTATTGAACAGTGTGCATCGACAGCTCTCAGAAAGCATAAGGATTGTGTATTGACAGTGTGCATCGACAGCTCTCAGAAAGCATGAGTTTTTTTTTCTTTTGTCTTGGACCATTTCCCAATTTTTTCATGTTAAATTGTTAATGTATTGTTCCAACTCTAATGGATGCCAGTTACGGATAGCTGGCAGGAATGCATTTCAAGTACCACACCATGAAAAAGTCACCATTTTAAACCAACAGTGCCCAACACCATTTTAAGCCATCTAGAGAGTCATAGATAAGGTAGCTAGGGTTGTATGCTCACCAACGGAAACCGATCTTGTACAGGCCGCGTATCTGAGTCACAATGTAACAAACGCACATAGATCAGATATGGACAAAGTCAGAAGTCTGCCGCATACACGCAAAAGAAGAGCCTAGACAAGCATACCATAAAGAATGTGACTCAAGCATGCATCCATATTACACAGAAAACAGAAGTTTTGATCAATTGAGCAAGTTAATAAAGCATGCAATAGATTATTTCGTTATCCGATTATTGTTCTATGCAGAAAATCGATTGAAATTTGATCCGGCTTCACCTTGATTCGACCTATGGAATTTCGTCCAGCAGACGCCTCTTTGAAACTATCAACAGGAAATTCTGAATCTCGCTACAACCGCTCAACGATGTTTGAAATTGCAGGTGTTTTATTCGGCTGGAAAGCATGGTTGCATATCCCGACAGTCATCAGCCCTTGACTGGTCAGATGTCGACCAGCCAGCCGAACAGCCGTATGGTTGCATATCCCGACAGTCATCAGCCCTTGACTGGTCGGATGTCGACCAGCCGGCCGCAAAAGAAATAATATACGCCGGACCTGACGAGGGGCTGACAACAAACGAGGACAACAAACGAGGGGCTGTGACAAACAGTTTTGTCGGAGTTTATATCATAGCTACGCCGGACCTGACCCCGGACCGATTCCGGACCCCGGACCCCGGACCTCCCGGGCCCATCCAGACTTCCGGGAATCCCGAATATTCCAGAATTTCCAGACTGGTCCGGACCCCTGGTCCGGATCCTGGTCCTCATCCTGGTCCGGATCCTCTACACTGTCCGGAAAAAAAAAAAAAAAAAAAAAGACACGCCACTACTCCTACTTCAGTTAAAGTGCGTCATCCATGTCTAGGAACAAGCTAAATCTTTTCCTTCCAATTTTATTGAATGTCCCACGGGCAAGATTAGCATGGCACCTGCGCCAAGATGACAAGCATTAATCGAGAAATGGACCAAATAAAAAATAAATACCACAAAAAGGAGTAGGGGGAGGAGACGAGGAAGACAAGAAGAGGAGGAGAACGACAGAGTACAGGAAAAAAAAAATTGAGCCCACGTATTCCTTGTCGAATAGTATTTTTCCCGAAGGACCCCAGCAGTGCATCTGCGAGGTCCAACATCTCAAGAGACATTCGGCAAATTTCGTGGGAGAGTGGAGGAGGCCAGAAATATACGTTCTGGATCCAAAGTCAGGTATGCTGTCCAGCAGTTATGGGTTACAAGTTACAACTACTTACTCCCGTAGCTCTCTTTCTTGTGCTTCGTTTTCCTACGAGCAGTGGCCCTAAGGGCCTTGCTCCACTCGTCACTACTTGCACAAAAGACAAAACATATGGCGGCGCTTGGTTCCATGTTCTAGCAGATTCATTCCACTTTTTTTTTGTCTACTTTTCCTACGAGCAGTGGCCCTAAGGGCCTTGCTCCACTCGTCACTACTTGCACAAAAGACAAATCATATGGCGGCGTATGGTTCCATGTTCTCGCAGAAGATTCATTCTGGTTTTGCACATTTGGTGAGTAGTGGACGGAAGCCCTGAAGCACGTGGTGAGTTGGCCTGCTACTGCCCAGAAACTCACGTGCTCAGTGGTCCCATAACTGCTGAAACTCACGTGCTCAGTGGACCTTAATGTGAATCAACAGCGTATATACTTGGCATGCCATGACCCCCACATGGCTATGAGCATTACTTAGTTCATGGTGAGAAGGCAGATAACCCGCAGGGGTTTTCCAAAAAATTATAAGGAGTTATTTGTTTGCTCTCTCTCTCTCTCTCTCTCTCTCTCTCACGCGTGTAAGTGTTCTCACCCATAACAGCGGCTCTTTTTTTTTTTGGCGCATCGGTGACCACCGCACTGCTCTGGGTGCACCGCGCCCTTGCGCCGCAGGTGGGAAACAAAACCAAAGTTAGCAGACCCCCTCATAGACTTTCTGGGCCTTCCGGATCATTGGTGAGGGCAGTCAAAAGTCAGGCACCATTTTTTTGGGGCTGCCTAGGGCGTGAACGAACGCCTTGGACCACCCAAAAAAATCTTGCCCGTTGGGCTGGGGCCCACACATCCGGACCGATATCCAGACCCGGCCCCCGGACCACGGACGGTCCGGATCCCTGTCCGGTCGTCCGGATCGTAGCCATGGTTTATATCGTCATCATCAAATACATCAAATATATATACGTATATATATTTTGGGTCCAAGACGTACCCTCCCCCAATACCTCCATACCACCCCCCCCCAACACCCCCTATACCGAAGCTATATTCCCCTGTATCCCCCAAAGTTTCTCATCGGATTTGGCTTTACTCAGGAACCGCAGTACAGCCCCTAAGTCAGATTTGAAGAAAGATCAGTGGAGGGCTGTTTCCCAACTGGTTGGCAGACCGCAGACCGGTCGGTCGGCCCTAATACGGTCAGCGGGCGGTAAGCATCGGCAGGTATTCAACCTGGCTGGAAAGTGTAAAGACGCACCACATGGCAACACCCCCCAAGACAGGCGAAAGGAATTTGCTATCTTACAACTCTTCAGAGCTCGTGAACATGAAGTGAGGTGGGGATGATACCAGTCCAGACCAGACACGGCATTACTTTTCACTAGAGAACCAATAAACACAATAACAAACAGCAAAAAAAAAATTAAAAATATTTGAAAAATATTATTTCGATGCTCGCTGGACTCTAAAAATGTAGATCAAGAGAAAATATTCATTCAACCACAAAAGTAATTAAGTAATTGCTGCCATAATTACAAAAGAGAGACGTAGAGGTTCCCCTACGTCAGCACTAGAATACTTCAATTGATAGACATCATACTAGTCTCTGTCTAACGTAAGACTCCAGTAAGGCCACCCATTTCTCGCAGCTTTCACACAGCTTAAACAGAGTCCAGATATGAGCGCACTTACGTATAGCACAAATTGTTGGTCAGCGTTTGAAGGGCATCTGAGCCGAGATTGTTTTCATCATACAGGACAGTGTAGTGCGCAGGCCGACTAGTTCCCTGGACCCAATTTGGCAGACAAACAATTACATTGCAGATTATTAAAAAAACACAACATTCACAGCAACTTCATAGCACAGGATTCCAAAAACACAACATTTACACCTCATAGGTGAAACAAATCATTCAACCAAAACAGCCAGCCTGTGCAGGGGGCTTGAGCTGGGGGCAGAGAAACACGTGTCGAGAGACATGCCCGGTCCCACATGCCAGGATGTCATCCACCTGACTGAGTTCAACAAAAGAGACCCCCTTATGAGCCACCTTCATAAACAGATTTCCCCACACTCAGGCGTTCCTCCAGAATGCAGTCACGTGCAAGCCTGCACACTCTCTCAACCAAAACTCTCTCAACCGGGTCTCTCTCTCTCTCTCTCTCTCTCTCTCTCTCTCTCTCTCTCTCTCTCTCTCTCTCTCAGCTCTACCCCCCATTCCCTTCATCTCTCCAAATCCCCATCTCTTGGCCCTCCTCCAGAATGCAGTGACGTGCAAGCCTGCACACTCTCTCAACCGGGCCTCTCTGCCTCTCTCTCTCTCTCTCTCTCTCTCTCTCTCTCTCTCTCTCTCTCTCTCTCCCTCAGCTCTCTCTCAGCTCTCCCTCCATTCCCTTCATCTCTCTAACTCCCCATCTCTTCCTCGTTCACCTCCCACGCTCATTTGCCCTCTATCTTTCCCCCCGTCTCCCACTCCATTTTTGGCCCCTCCTGATCTCTCTCTCCCCTCCCTCCCACTCCCTCTGAGTCTCCTCCAACCTCCCCACTCCCCACCACAACTCCTGCTCAACTCTCCTACTCTCCAATGCCTTACCACTGTCCACCCTCCATCCTTCTCCCCTCCTTAACCCAGCTGACCTCTCCGATTGTCCTCCTGCGGTAATCTTGCGGTCACGAATACAATGAAGTCCAAGCTGGCAAATGGTCACACCATAACCAATAATCCATTGGGCATAAACTCTTCTGTAGATATCATAGGTTTTTATCCCTATTTTTGCGGTGTCACAACGAATTTTGAAGGGCTTTCAATTCAATCCGAAGCCTATAGCCAACGTCACTCCCATCGCACAACGTGGCTTAAGCATCCAACTCACCCAATTGGCAGCACTCTGCCAGATTCCCGCCACTACCGTCTTCCCCCGAACATAACACACCCTGAAAATGAACGTATACAAGCCGACTTTCCGGTACGATGCAGTCAAAATGAGGGTGCATTGTGTTCGAGGGAAGACGGTAGTTACCGCTTGGCACATAGATCTAGTGAGCTTGTGCAAACAGAAAACCAGCTACATACTTATACCATCAACATAGGTGCCTCCGACGCGGCCAGCATTACAAATGGTAGCACAGAGTTTCTAGATTTAGCATACACGCGATTCCATGCACCAGGACATCCTAAAACCGGTGACGTATGTCTCGCCTGAACCAAGAGTGCCACATATCATAAAAAAGAAATTCCGCAGACATCCAGAGATCTGAAGCACATGGGAAACACCACACCTGATAGTGCAAAAACAAGTTCACAATGCGGAGGGCAAAGAAGAAATACAAGCTATCCCTTCACACATTCAAAGGCATCTGACAAAAAGATCTCACCATCTCCAGGCACAACCGCAGGAAGTACTCCCCCCAGCTCTGTTTAGATCTCTAGATATCCTCCGAACGCAAAGAATGGAAGAATGGAAATACAAGCACTATGCACAGAAAGGGTGACTGTTCAAAAATCTACCTCAGTAAGTCAATCCCCCCACAACTCATATCTACTGCTTCTGCTACGCACAAGGGATCGGGAGGAAAGAGGCGGGCAGAAAGGAGTCGGACGGATGAGAGTCGGGCGGAAAGGGCGGCAAAGGAAGAAGCTTGGGGAACCGCAAGTCCAGGGGATCTCAAAGCAACCATGGAGGAAGTCCAGGTTCTGGCATGGGAGCTGGGCAGGCGGGCTGCACAAATGTAGGACAGTATCAAGCGGCAAACTCCCAACAGGACGAACACTTGTTACATTCGCTGACATTGAACTGAAGAAATTGCACAGACATTGCCTCTCCACACAAAAATTGTTGACAACCAATTACCACCTCAGACCAGGGACAAACTCACCTTAATGCCTGCATGACTGCACAAATAAAAGTCGAAGTCCGTCGGATGGCAGATGCCCTGGTCCACAACAGTTCCTGCAAATACCACCACGCGTCAAAACACTCACTTCCTTGTGTTTCGAACGCAACCAGTCGTCAACACCCCACCAACAGTGCTTCATACCAGGCACCAAAACACACAACACAACCATTTACTCCCCAGCATTACCGCCTATGCCCTGCAACCATAGAAGCATCTCCAACATCAGTCCATAACAGCACTATATCAACCATCATTGTACACTGGCTGACACATAAAGAGTAGTGCAACTCTCTGAGACAATACCCTAATAAACAATACTCGAAACCCTCAAGACGACTATGTACCCACACAGGCTGCACAATCTAAGCCCTTCCCTCAAGACGACTATATCTCCCCATCCTTTCACAAAGATTCAAAATAATTGATTTTTGAATTTCACACCTCAACAGCATGATACCCAAGCACCATCATGACATACAGAAGTGAGGAAAGCATGATACCCACCTGGCTCAACATTTCCCAGAGGCGTCCTGATTTATAGCAGTGAGAAATCCATGATACCCACACACCTCAAAAGTTTGCCGAGGCATCATGACAAACAGCGGTGAGGAAACCTAGATACCCACCTGGATCCACATTTCGTCCTTGATCAAAGAGACGCGTGTGATGCCTCTTCTGAACCACAATGAAGGTTATACTTGGCTCGTAATTTGCATCGAGCGACTTGCATGCCTGCCAGCCAAATGCAAAACCGAATCAGAGAAGACCACCATAATATCAAACCCAGGCTTCCCACACAAACACGTACCGTTCGAATCCTGCGCTCCAACACAATCCACAGCAGAATCAGTAAGACATGGACAGAATCAGACTAGCACAATGACCAACAAATCTTATACGAAGCCGGACCACTTGCCACCTCTCATTAAGAGGGTTTTGTATCCAGCTTAGTCCAGCCACAAGGTCATGGGTCGGCAAGCAAATTCATACAGCAAGCATCACCATACCAGTGAGAGTGAAATACGCAAAACGCCGTGGGTTGAACATACACTTTCCTCAAAATACTGAAACCTCGTCTCAGTTTTTCCTGGGAAAAAAAAATACACAAGAGAGGTCCACACAGCTGCCACTGGTAGGCCCACTCCTCACAAAGGTCCCACGGCCCAGGGGCGCCCATGCAAGTCCGCCGCGTTAGAAAGCATGCAATGACTGGGAGAGTTGCCAAAGTGGGGGTGGAGGACAAGAAAATAGAAGAGGAAAGAAACAAATTCATTCATGAAAAAGGAAGAGGTGATCATTTACACACTGAATGAATTCAGGAAAGAGATGGCAAGGTAACATCTGACATAGTTGGGATATACAACAAAACCGCTGGATGGACGGTGAACTGACTACGCCATGCGCCACAGAATTCCACCTGAACGGAAGAGCATACTGCAATCTTCGATTTTTTTTTAATACCGTGTAAATTGGACATAAGAACAAGCGGGCAGTAATGAATAGTAGAATAACAGTGACAATATGATGTTCGATAACTTTTTCATCCACGAAACGGATGTTTGAAGGCAAACTTAATCCTCCTCCAAGTTTCTAGGTAATTCAGAATGTTTCAATTCCATTCACAAAGGTTCTTGAGGAACTCAGTTGTTTATTTCAACAGTGTTGGTAATGACTTTCTCGTACTATGCCTCTGAAGAGAGCATGGATGTTTGGAGACCAATCCTAAGGCTTTTCCAAGCCTCAAATACTTTGTTGGATCTGGTTAAAAGGTGGTGCGGCTGCATCCATGTCTGCTGCCACCTCCCACACCATCACCCCCCTTCCACCCCCATTCCATCAGGGAGGCTGATGGAAGGCCCTAGTATGACTAGGGCTGACGGCAAATCATATACGAGTCAAAAAGTGACGGCGTGTCACCAGAAACTCGAGATTACACCATACTCGCCTTCTATCCTCTGAATTCTTCACCTCACCGTCCTCTCTCTCTCTCTCTCTCTCTGTGATACACACGCACATGTCTATCTCACACTCCACCCTCGCAGACCATTTTGCTTCTCATCGTCTTACCTCTCAGAACCACATCTGAATCTGCGATGGGACCGTTGTACATGTAGACGCACAGGATTAAACGCAAAAACTGGCAGCAAAAACAGGCAACTTACCAACCTGGCAATTATCTATACAGGATACACCCACAGGATTGCCTGCCCAATTCAAACATAGATTTTTGTGCTGGCCCCACCTCAACAGTGCCCTTCCCACACTCAACCCTCAACTCATCCCTCCATTCGTTTGTGATCCACTCCCTCTCCTCTCATAAATTCGTCCTGTCCGCTGCCACCACCTCGATGTTTTTCCCTGTTTTGTTGCCCGCGTCAATTATTGAATATCGGATAGAAATTCCAGTTCTGTTGTGGAAGTGGAGCAATGATCTACCCCAAATACCCATCCCTGTTTTCTTGCCCAGGCCAATTATTCAATCTTTGATTGAAATTCCACTTCCGCTGCAGAAGTCCAGCAATGATCTCCCCCAAGTATTCATCGAAGTACGATGCAATACATAATAAGAAATTCACCAACAAGATTACTTTGTTGTCCTCCCCCTGATCTTGGTCACCTAACAATGAATGCTTCCGTCTCATGTATGGCATTCAACTCACATATGCCTTCGACAAACAGGGCACCTACATCTACTCATAAGACACTTCTCCTGTAGACTCCAGGTAATTGTCACACCCATTGATCATGGTATACATCCCAAGGTGCACTCCTCTCTCACTCACATTCTGATAATAAACCTACCAATCATGCAAACTAAGCCAAGAAGAACATACATTTTCAGCTGACCAGCCTTCGCTACCACCTGAGCACGGTAAACATTTTTACATCCACCAACAACCTCGCCTTCCCAGCACAAATTTTCACCAACTTTAAAGATTCACACACCTTCTTTATTTCAGTGATCTCCTTTCGCATGACAGCCATGAACTGACCTTCGCTGACCCCATCCCTGTAGAAAGAGCACAATTCCACAAAAATGAAAAGCAGAAACCAGAGAGAAAAGACACTACCTTACATTGAAAGCCAGGCAAGTGTAAGGCCAGCAGGCTGACATTTTTCAAATGGAAAATACCATCCGATAGTTGCACCACAGATAGCCCGAACACATCCCCGCACTTGAAACTGGAGGAAAGACCAGAATACACATAGACAAGCAGAGACTTCACTCGAAAAAAAAAAAAAAGGAGATTGTAAAGCACACAAATTCAGTCACATGCCTGTTGTACAAGCCAAGAATGAGCCAATTGCCAAAAGCAGGAACCAAGGGTGATAGTGAGGCAGCACTCGTGCAAATGACAGCACTCGTGCAAATGACAAAAGTTCTTTATTTTACACAGCTCCTCCGTAGATATACATATCAGAATCCCAAACATAAGCTGCAAGCCTGCCCATGTTCCCAGGAAGGCCTACTAGGCATGACTTCACATCTTCAATACATTGTGTAGGCCGTCTCCATATGAGCCAGCACCACACAGGACTATCGAATCCTCCCCCAGGGTGAGTAAAGGAGAAGAAAGACATCTTGGTGTCATCTACTGGGTGATATCAAGGCCAACATGGGTAAGGGAGAAGAAGAGAGCACAACATTTGAAAATCCACTGGGAGAAAGCATTCATAAAAGGATCCTCTTCCTCAGCATACACGCACATACACGCATACCCATCTGCTAAACGTAACCATTTCTAAAATTTACTCTGTGAAGCTAGTCATCCGACTGCAGAAGCTGGAAAATAACAAACCATTCGAGCTTAATATTGCTGGGCAAGAGATGCCTCACCCACGATCCAGGAAAACAGAAGTACCCGACTTTCAGGGTGACGTAGCCATTTGCCTGCAAGAATAGTTGAACGCTAAGTTTGGAGTAGCAGTGGTCCGTATTACATTACCTAGTCAATTTGCCATAGTAATACTAGCAATCTAGCATAGATGTAATGATACCCACAACAGGTAGCACCCACCGGTTACTTACATGCCAAGTCCCTGGGATCTACGGGCCCTCGTTGTTATGATTTTGCGCCATAGTCATATTAGCAATCTAGCATAGATGTATTGATATCCACAACAGGTAGCACCGGTTACTTGCATGCCAAGTCCCTGCTATCTACCAGCCCCCTTTGCTACGACGCTTCTCTCTCTCTCTCTCTCTCTCTCTCTCTCTCTCTCTCTCACACACACACACACACACACACACAGACACAGACACACACACACATGCACACTCACTCATTTTCCTTTTTTTTTTTTTTTTTTTTTTTTTTTTGAAAACAAAACAGCCCCTCCTATTCTGGGGGGCACCATGGGGGGCACCAGTCCGGTAGCTTATCACCGGCAAGCCTGAAAACCACAGTACAATTTTGATTGTAAGAGAAGAGGAAAGCCTTACCCTTGCAGCCCTAGACGGCTCTCAAGGGGGGACCTGCTACAACCAATCCCACTTCCCGTACCATATCCTCCCCAGGGAAACCTCTGTTGGTCGGGAACACACACTCATTTTCGTAAGAGGTTTTTTTTTCCATTTGTCCTTTTTGTTTTCTCTTGATCGTAAGAGACATGTTTTGAAGGCCACTGATCCTCTTTGGCAGATCTGCACGCCCATTTTCGTATGCAAGCTTCAGGACCCAGTATGCAGGCACGCCCATTTTCATATGCAATGTCCCAGCTTCAGGGCCCAGTAAGCGGGCTGTCCTTTCTATTTTAAGACGATCACTACTTCCGAGCCTCATTTGACGGAGCTGGAACAGAACAACATACCTTCGCTAAAGCGCCAGCGCAACTTTTGTTCTCACATTTTAGCTCGCGCCGCCAGCCTCTTTGGTCTGGTAGGACAATTCACTCGAAGAATTCATTCTGGTGTTTACATTTAGTCCACGAAAACTAGGGATCTGCACACAATTCCCACCGCAGCCCCACAGCCCCTGTGACCGGTACTTAGTATGTACAGGTAAACAGTGATAGACTGCTGATCTCTCTCCGCCCCTTACTCATTTTCCATAACATTTTCAGCACCACACCTTTTCAGGCATTGGAGGGTGGTTCTATGCGAAACATGGACCTCCCCCTCAAATAGTTCCTTCGAAAATAACATGTTCAAGATAGGGAAGAGAGCCGTCCTGTGGGCCATCTGGAGGAGACGCTGCATACATGCCATGGAAGGGGTCCGTATAGCCGGGGAGGAAATGAAGGACATGGCCAAACAACATGTACACCAGGGTCTTATGGCACTGTAATAACCCATGTAGTAAGCCTCGCTGAATCTGAGACCCAGGCCGAACAGGGGGAAAAAGACCCCAGTCAAGACTCAGGGCCTGGACGAGGCACAGTTGACTTTGTCAACTGTCGGAAATTCCAACAGTCAAAGTCCAAACAAAGGTACCTAGCCCAGGCCGCAGGTCAAGCACACACACTTGTTTGTATGCAGGTACCCAGTCAAGCACACACACTTGTTTGTATGCAGGTACCCAGTCGGCATCAGGTCCAAGGGAGAAGTCTGCAACTGTACAATCCGGGCCCTCAGCTGTGATTCAATCTGGACGACTGTGGGAAAAGTGGGAAAATTACCCGAGGCCAGACAGCCTCGACATCTGTTACTTAATGCTGACCTCTAGTCAGTCAAGCATTCAGTCTTGCTATGCTGCTTTGATGCTGGCTCTACTTTGACACGACGCTGACTTCATGCTGACTGTGCACAAGCATTGCAGACGACGGTACGAGGTGGAGGCAGCATGCCAGCGCTTCTTCAGTGCGCCATGCCATGCTGCTGCTGTGCTGCCTCTGGTCTACGTGGCATGCTGATGTGGCACTGCCTCTGGTATATGTGGCACTGCCTCTAGTATATCTGGCACTGCCTCCGGTCTACATGGCATGCTGATGTGGCACTGCTTCTGGTCTACATGGCATGCTGATGTGACACTGCCTCTGGTATATGTGGTGCTGCCTATGGTCTACATGGCATGCTGATGTGGCACTGCCTATGGTCTACATGGCATGCTGATGTGGCACAGACTATGGCCTACGTGGCATACTGATGTAGCGCTGCTACTGGTCTACTTTGATGATGTGGAAATCGCCACCTGTTTTTGATTGTTGACGTGGCATTGTCCACGCTGTCTACATGAAGTGATTGGTTGTGAGGAAGATCGGGATCTGTGGCTGAGGGAGAACGGGTACTCACCTGAGTTTGAAGTCGATACTGGAATCTGCAATGTCTTCATGGTCTTCATGGGATTGAGTGCCACGTGGCACTTCCGTGTGTGATCAGTAATATACTTTTTATCATTGTCGATGTGAAGAGGGGAGAAGCCCGGAGAAGGAGAGGGTCAGCAGGGATTATTGTCTGATTCCTCATTTTCTGCTTTGTCTGTTCCCCCTCCCCTCTCTTCTATTGATGATAATGAGATACTGTTTAATATATTTTTTCACGAATTGAAGACTTTGATGCAGATACTGACTCTGCAGGTATTGGACGAGTTCTGAGTGTCTGTCAGACTGGGTTCATTACAGCACAATGGCAGGAAGTTAAAAGTCAGCTGGCTGTCAGACTGGGTTCATTACAGCACAATGGCAGAAAGTTAAAAGTCAGCTGGATCTGTTTCAGACACAAAAAAACATAAAACAAAAAATCTAACAATTTTCAGGGGACTGGCTGGGCAGCGAGAACGGAGGCCGGATCGCCTTCATCGAGTGGGACAGCAGCTGCACCCAGGAAGGTAATCAAGGTATCGATGACAGTAATTCAGGGATGACCAAGAGAGATTATCATATCTGTTTCAGGGATTGGATAACGGTGGATCCCAGAATTCCGTTACAGCCTCCCTCGCTTTCCTGACCCCTTTCCCCCCCATCAGCGGACCATGGTGGACATGCAATGGTATGGGGTGGTGCGAGTAAGCCAGCAGTGTCAATAGAAGGGGTACCTCAAAGGCAGGGGTGGGAGGAACCACGGCTTCGCACCCCTCCCAACGTCCAGGTTTCAAGCAGCAGCAAGTCCAGCTCTTTTCCTCTCCACACAAGAGGGACCGAGGCATGTGGGGAGGGAGGGCGATGACACTTGGGACATTTGGGATAGAGTCCGTTGGGATAGGGTGTGTATCTCTCAACAACCTTTTTCTCAGTTACTTTTCCCCCTCGGAGCTCCCTGACCCCCTCCCGCCCCATAGTCTGTTATTGGGGGGTGCATAACCTACATAGTTAGAGTTGCAGAGCATTAATTTGCAGTATCTGAAAGAGGGGACGGGGGCTAGGTCGTCATGCATTTTGGGCGGCCAGCAGCAATGCTGAAGAGTCCCCCTCTTCCCCCCTCTCTGGCTAGTCATCTTTTTGCTCAGTTAATTCCCTGTTCTCAGGGCAATCAATGCTGACAGAAGATGCAGAAATCTTCAGAAGTAAATCAATGGCTTTTGTTAAGAGACGCTGGACACGTTTTCCAGCAGGTTGCTCCCCACCAATAGATGAGTCTTCCCGGGGGAGATAAGAGGCGACTGCTCATACCAGCGCCCCTAGCTCCCAAACGGGTAATTTTTCAAAAAACAAAAAGAAAAGCCCAGGACCGGTAATCATTACAGGTACAGATGAACAGTGTCAGGCCAACATACAGGTGGTCCAACACCCTCTCTCTCTCTCTCTCTCTCTCTCTCTC